TCTCTATATATATATATATATATATATATATATATATATATATGTATGTATACTGTATATGAGTAGTAAAAAACAGTAATTTAAGATGGGAAAAAAATATTGACATTCATGGCAATGATGTCTGGTAGCACATCAAAGCAAGCAAGTAGTTTGCTGCAAAACTATTTGTTGAGTAGCTATTCTTTATACTGTATCTTTAAGTTGTAGGCTGGGGGGGGGGGGGCAATACAAGGGTCAAATTGCCAAATGCAGAAAAGACCGTTTTCACAACACAAAACTTAATGTACTCAGTTGAATTGCCCAATTTAAAATTTTACCAAAGTTTGTTGCCTTGAAATTTTAATTTCACCGCACTTTTTTTTCTTGGTACAATGTCCCTTTTACACTAGTCACTTACGTCCAATTAAAATAATACGGTTCCAAAACCATAGCTGGAATCAGTGAGGGGATGGCAACGGGAACTGATGAGCAATTACACAATATATTTATGTTCGCTGCGCTGCCCAAGCTCCTACATTACTATTGGGACAAAAGGTGGATCAGCTCTGTCGGTGTCATCGTGCAGGTAACAGAGCGAGGCCTTGGGACAAAACTGGCAAACCCGAGTGAAAGAAGGCCACCTGAATATTTCGAACCAAGCTGGACTCACTTTTCTCCCCATTACCTGTCGCTCACTTGCAGGGAGATCCATGTTCCGCCTCCCTGGTGTCAGCCTTTCGGCCATTTGCTTTCACTGCACAGATCCCCCTGCGCTCCACTGTTAACAGCTGCCAATATACAGCCCGGGCCGAGGATCAGACGGCTCTGTTGCGGCCCAATAAAGAGCCCCCGGAGTGGATTGACGAGAAATCTCACACCTTGCGCTCACATTAGCCATGCAGCATGCCCTTTTGATGCCTCAGTAGCCACTATGAGAAGGTGGTCGAGAGAGGAGCTCAAAGCTGGCATGGAACAAGTTCAAGTGTGTGTGGCGGATTTTAAAATCAACACGTTGTCTAATTTAGGACACGGTGGAGAATCCAACATAACGGCAACCTTAGCTGCAGTGTTCTCTTATTTGTAATCAAGTTCAAAGTAAATCCCCCAATATGTGAGTGTCCCATGTTGCAAGCGGGGGCCGGCGATGCTCACATTTGGCCATCCACATAAGAAAACAAAGGCCACATCTCACTCGGGCAAAGGGGCAAATGACAACTTCGCAGCACTTCATAAGAAACTGCTTGAAGTTGCTAATGAAGACTAATGACTTCCCTCGTGTCGCAGACTTCACACCCGAAGGTACGAGCCCTTTCAGCACCAAAGTGGTACGCGGGGTGGTCTGTTCAGGAAAAACATTTTCACTGCAAAATGTTCTGCTTATCGTGTTTTCAGAAAGATGTCGTACCTTGAGAAATAAGAGGACAGGCAATTATGTCACAGGATAGGGTAATTATTATAGGGCTCCCACACCGAACATAATAAGTGAGCTACCACTTTGTGCAGGCACGCGACACAGGTAGTCGATAACTAAACACAGTGCAACTCAGCCTCTGGCGAGTGGACGTCTTGGCTAGCATATTTCAGGCGGTACGTCATTGTATTTGTTGGAGCAGGAGTATCAAACTCATTTTCATCTGGAGTTACATCTTCCCTCGGATTTGAGGGAATTGACATTTCGGTTCAGATTTTAGCAAGGGTCATCCAAGTTGACACACGATTGCTTTCGCAGGCCACATAAAATAACGTGGCAGGCCGGATCTGGCCCCCGGGCCACGTTTGACACGTGTGTTAGAGCATAATCATTCAGACCATGGGCATTTGGTGCCCATACTCTCAATGACCCCTTGATTAATTAGCCCCCCTACCCCTCAAATTGTTTATTTTTTCAGGGGGGTGGGGGGGAGTATTATTAACAGGTTTCCTCTACTACAGTTGACCCTGCTTATACGCATGGCTCAGCACCGGTGAATCCACTTATTCAGTTTTTCCCCCCCCAGTATTTTCATGTATTTATTTATTCGTGATAAAGTCCAAGCTTTTCATAGAGAATGTATAGTGCAATTTTTTTTGTTTTTGGGGGGATTACAAAAAACGAAATCTTATTTTCAAATGCATTTCAACGGGTCTCAATTATGTGCGGATTTTCCCTGTTTGGTAGGCCGACCCAGTCTCTATCCAACGGGTGTCAAACCCAAGGCCCGGGGGCCAGATCTGGCTCGCCACATCTTTTTATGTGGCCCCTCCCCGAAAGAAAATCATGTGTGTCAACTTGCATGATCCTTGCTAAAAAAATGTTCCGAAATGTCAAATTGTCATGTGTAATAAATGTTGGGATTTTAAATTCATTTTGTTACCCTTAGAAGTAATAATGCGATAATGAGATTAAACATCATAACAGCCCTCCGAGGGAAGACGCAATTCAAAAGTGGCCTGCGACAAAAATGAGTTTTACACCCCTGCTCTATCCCATGCGAATAGTGAGTATCCACTGTATAGATTTAAGTTGTAATAAAGTATCATTATTGACCACTACATGGCACACACAGCATAGTGTTCACTGTTGGTTTGTGGTTTAGTGCCTTTTCTGCACGAGAGCCTTTGTTTGCATGAATGCATGCAAAAAAATCAAATAAAATCACAGTATGGTATTTTTTTTGAACGTTCAAATCCTCACGTACGTGGTCCTATGTATCCCCCAGTAGCATGAATGAAAAATTGTGGCTACCTCCAGCTTTTTTAAGTTGCCCATCCATGATTCAGGCTGTTCAAACTGTTACTCATGCGTTTCTGCATCGATCTACTAAAAAGCAGAAACAACATTTCAGCCTGTTTCATTTGAAACACCCCACAAAGGGCAGCCTTAAGTGCTTATTTTGGAGTGGCCTTTTATTGTGGGCAGCCTGTGGCACACCTGTGCAATATGCATGCTGTCGAACCAGTATCTTAATATGCCACACCTGTGAGTTTAATGGATTGATACTGGCAAAAGAGATGCACTCACTCAATGTGTACACCCGAAAAAGGAGAAATTGCAGCAAAACCAAGAGTTGCATTTAAATTTTTGTTCACGGTATGATGTGCAATGACAAGTTTGGCAACCCTGCCCTCACATAACTTCACTCAAGTATATTGCCACTTGCACTCATTTCCAGCTCGAAAATACCATTTCAACAAAAAACAAATGGATTATCTCATACCGTGATTGAATCAGTTTTATCTTAACTGTTAAATAGATATGAAAGGTGCTCATCAAAAATTTTTATTTTAGTTATTCAAAAAGTGAACCTTGTGTCATGCATACATTCGTTTGACAGAGACTGATACATTTCAAGTGTTAATTCATTTTAATTTGGGGGCGGCCCGGTGATCGACTGGAACGCATCGGCCTCACAGTGCAGAGGTGCAGGGTTCCATTGCAGCTTTCCTGTGTTTGCATGTTCTCCCGTGCCTTCCGATGGTATTCTCCGGGTACTCCGGTTTCCTCCCACATTCCAAAAAGATGCATGGCAAGCTGATTGAACTTTCTAAATTGCCCCTAGGTGTGAGTGTGAGCGCGGATGGTTGTTCGTCTCCATGTGCCCTGCGATTTGCTGACAACCGGTTCAGGATGCCCGAAGACAGCTGGGATAGGCTCCAGCACGCCCCGCGACCCTTGTGAGGATAAGCAGATCAGAAAATGGATGGATATACTCATCGAACTTAAAATGAATGAACACTTGATATGTATCAGTCTGTGTGGAATGTATATGCATTACACGAGTTTCACTTTTTGAATAGTATTACTGAAATCAATCAACTTTTTCATGATATTCTACTTTTTTTGACGAGCACCCGTATACAGCACAAACGAATCCAAACAAGAAAACATGACAAGTCTGATTAAGTCATTTAAGAGAACTTGTGTCTTGTACATCTGGTGGACAATATGATCACTTGTATTGACGCAAAGATGTAAACAGCCACAAACTATTTGTAGTTGAGGCTTTGTCTTTTATTGAACATGCCTTAGAAAAGATAATGCTTGATTCATAATTTCAAGGTTTATTTTAATTCAAGTTGAAGTGTAAACACGTCCCATTGTAGATTTGGTCAAATACCGAAATTAGGAGTTAAGAGGTATCTTGGGCTGAACAGTAGCAATATTTTAATACTGTGGAATGGAAGATTTGTTTCTACATGTGAAAATGTCAAGATACAAAGGAAGTGTTTAGACATGCATTAAGATGTCATTTAGTTAATTCCATGACAGATCACTATACTTGACAAAGATGTCACACGTCAGCATGCGTTGTTGTGGTGTCGCTGGTGCTCAGCGTTGGTCTTCCCAACTCTCCCGCAGACCTCAAACTCACCACAGAGATAAACACGGTGTTATCTGCCGTATTGGGATGCATTTAAAATAGCCAATAGCAGAACAAAGTCTTGACATTTTCGAAGATATTTTTGGTTAGACATCCATGTTAGACTGAGGCAAGCTCTCAGCTGGGGTACATTTCCAAAAGCTCAGCAGAAAAAAAACAAAAACAGAACAATATCACACACCTTAATGCAACAACCATGTAATGAAATAAAAATATAAAAAGGTTTTGATGTCAAGACTAATCATCTACAGTTTTTCCATTTACAGTTTGATTCACGTTTAAAAAAAAACAACAACAACAACCCAGTAGATAGCATTATTTTGATAGAAAACAATTAGTAAAAAAACATTCTGTTGTCTTCCACTGAGTAACGGGACAAATTGACCAATGAAAAGGCATCGGAATTTAGAGACACCACTTCAGCATGCATGAATTCGAGTGAATTCAGTTATGGGTTTGGAATTAAAGCCAATCTCAATTTCTTGCATGCGCGCCCACACACGCACACGCACACACACACACACACACACACACACACACACACACACACACACACACACACACACCCCCTCGCTCAGCCACCCACTCACACAGACGCACACCTCAGTACTGCTGCCAAAGACATTTGGATTCCGATATGTACAAAACGTCCTCTTTCAACATCATTCACATCAGTGCTGGTGACGGGCGTCTCCCTGGTGAGAACCTCACAGCTACAGATGCACTACCGAGAAAGAAACAATATAGTCTTGCAGGAACACGGCGTGTACAAAAGCAGCACGCTTGAGTGCTCGGTTGACCCAAGGTTGAGTGTAAACATTTCCCATGTGTGCTACAGGTTACAGCGTTGTGCGGTGACTGTCCTTTTGTCACCTGTGCTGTCCATTGAAATGCACCACAACCGGCATCGGTCCTCATCCCATGTTACAAAGGTGCAGTTCGGGGCAGACCGCAGAAATGGTGAGGCATAAATGGGTGACAGGCTGCTGGGCGTGCCGCTGTGATATGCATAAATGGCACGTTAGAGTCATGCTGAGACTAAAGCTCTGATAATTCACACAAGCTGGGCCACACTGTGACATGGCCAGAGCCGATGAGAATACTGCATTCTCTCAGTTGACGGGGAGGGGCGACAATGGCATCAATCAAAACCAAAGCTGCAGCGACGTGTTCTCCAGCAACAAGAACCCCGATGAAACTGGCGCAGTGCTTGATAGAGTCAGTCGAGTGCGGTCCGCTAGCACAGGAGTATGGAAAGCTGTTTGAGGATTTATTTGATGTCCTGGACATTCAACTTAAGGTCCATGTACTAGCACACTTTCTGTCCTGAGACAATTCAGCACACTTGTAGGACAACCATATTTTACTCGTGAGATAAAACTCTACACTTGATCAGTGATTCTCAAAGTACCACTAGAGGTACTGGGGCTCACTCTTGTGGTACTTGAAGGTATACCGCACAAATACAGGTCAGTTGTTTTGAACTTTTTAGTACAATTTGTCTATACTCGTAATGTGCATAATGTTAGAGTGACTTGCACTATTATTATTTCAGACGTACTACATCAACACCTCAGTACTGCTGCCAAAGACATTTGGATTCCGATATGTACAAAACGTCCTCTTTCAACATCATTCACATCAGTGCTGGTGACGGGCGTCTCCCTGGTGAGAACCTCACAGCTACAGATGCACTACCGAGAAAGAAACAATATAGTCTTGCAGGAACACGGCGTGTACAAAAGCAGCACGCTTGAGTGCTCGGTTGACCCAAGGTTGAGTGTAAACATTTCCCATGTGTGCTACAGGTTACAGCGTTGTGCGGTGACTGTCCTTTTGTCACCTGTGCTGTCCATTGAAATGCACCACAACCGGCATCGGTCCTCATCCCATGTTACAAAGGTGCAGTTCGGGGCAGACCGCAGAAATGGTGAGGCATAAATGGGTGACAGGCTGCTGGGCGTGCCGCTGTGATATGCATAAATGGCACGTTAGAGTCATGCTGAGACTAAAGCTCTGATAATTCACACAAGCTGGGCCACACTGTGACATGGCCAGAGCCGATGAGAATACTGCATTCTCTCAGTTGACGGGGAGGGGCGACAATGGCATCAATCAAAACCAAAGCTGCAGCGACGTGTTCTCCAGCAACAAGAACCCCGATGAAACTGGCGCAGTGCTTGATAGAGTCAGTCGAGTGCGGTCCGCTAGCACAGGAGTATGGAAAGCTGTTTGAGGATTTATTTGATGTCCTGGACATTCAACTTAAGGTCCATGTACTAGCACACTTTCTGTCCTGAGACAATTCAGCACACTTGTAGGACAACCATATTTTACTCGTGAGATAAAACTCTACACTTGATCAGTGATTCTCAAAGTACCACTAGAGGTACTGGGGCTCACTCTTGTGGTACTTGAAGGTATACCGCACAAATACAGGTCAGTTGTTTTGAACTTTTTAGTACAATTTGTCTATACTCGTAATGTGCATAATGTTAGAGTGACTTGCACTATTATTATTTCAGACGTACTACATCACTGGATTTTAATGATGGTCATCACGATGACACGTGTGGCACTTTATATTGTTTTTTTAGGTAGTACTTGGCATAAAAAGTTTGACAACAACTGCGCTGGTTGACATTCACTACTGCAAGTACTCCTCGTGAAGGGCAAGATGTTAGCTAGTAGAATTTGATAATGTCACGAGTAAGACACCCAGCGCTCTGTGATCAATGTGTGCAGTTTTTCAACATTAGTAACATGTCGTTGTCCAACTAGTATGTCAAAGTAGTTCTAATGGTGCGTTTAATAAACCTTATGCAGTTTCCACTGTCGATATGTTTCAAGTGAATGGAACGCCACCTAAGTGAAAAATAACCCCTACGGCAGAACGTGTGTTAACCTGGGGTGGTGTGAAAGGTACACTGAATATTTGGGTGCTCGTGTTGATTACGATTGAAATGCATCAGATGTTTGTACTTTTTAAAGACAAGAAGCAAGTGCTCTACTAATACAATTCAAATGTGCACTAGTAGTTGAAAACCATGACTAGTCAGACAAAGTTCTACTAGTGTGCTGACTTGACTTGCTAGTGAGGATAAGGAGCATACGGATACATGAACCTTAAGTTGGTTATCCAATAAATGCTCAAGCAGCTTTATGGAAAGCCGTTCGAATGTTTATTGGCTATCCTTGATCAGGTTACTAGCGTGTGACAAATGCCTACTAGTTGGGCCTGTTACTAGTGCAGCACAATAGTTACTAGTAAGGTATAATTGCGGTACACTACTACGCTGAATTGTGGTGAGGACAATGAGAGTGCTAGTACATGGACCTTAAGTTCGATTTGAAGGCTATGGAATAAACGCTCAAAGGTCTTTCCACACAGGAGGCCTGGAGAGTCTCAGATGTCCATGTAATCATCCTCCTCGTCCGACTCGCTCTCTAGTGAAGACTCCTGGCTGGATGTCTCCTGCACCTCCAGGGAAGGCTGGCTCAGAGTGTCCTTCTTGACCGTGGCGGCAGACTGCGACGATAGGATGACATTCTACGTGGGGAGCAGACAGTAGAGGTCAGCGATGAGCGCTGTGGCATGCGCACAGAATCAAAAGTGCCGTTCGGAATCCCCCACCTTTAGCCTTTGTTTGGTTTCCTCCGAGATGCTGCCTTTGGGGGAGAGAAGCGTGGGCGTCGGGGGAGTCACTGTGATTTCCGGGGGGAACTTAGTGACAGCGGAGGGGATGAAGAGCTTTGGCATGTTAGGCGGGACGCGGGAGCGGATTCGACTGGGGTCTGGAAGCTTTGACAGATCACTGCTGGCATAGTGCTGCTGGTCTGGGGAGAAACATGGATACACATCACAAGTCATTGTTTTACTTTCATGGCCTCTATCCAGTACAGTGGAGCTTCTCAAGGCTAATAGCTTGAGTTGTGGTCAATGATTTTCTTTGCTGAAATACTTTTTGTCATGAAAAAGAGGGAGTAGGCTTGATAAGCTGTCGCTTCACCCAACGCCTTTTCGATTGGTTGTCATCGTGGAAAAACTGTATTGACTTTGAAATCAGACGTCATGGAAAATAGTGGCATACAAATGTTTTGGTGAAGAACAATAATTCAATTTATGTTCAACGCTGACGTGAAACGGGAACCCTAATGAAGAGTGACGGCAATTGCTGTCAAGTTAATTTTTTTAATGGAATGGGTAAGAGAAAAGATTTGGGCAGCTCTGATTTCGCCAGCTGTTGGTATTTTATAGAGAAAAAGGACTGCTCAGATGTTAAAAGCATCACAGAAGCAAAAATGATGAGTGTAAAAGTCACTCCTGCTAGAAAATATATCTTCACAAAAAGCTTGTTTTCTGCGCTTTTTGGTCCAACATAGGTGATTTGGGTGAAACCAACCCACGTTTTACTGCTGATCAATAAAAAACGGAATAAAGTCGAGACTGTGTTCGATACGGCTTTTTTCAGTACTCAACTCCAGTATTCACCGATACAATACCAAGTAACCGATACCAATCATACTTTTGAAGCATACAATTTCTATTATCCCAAATAACAGATAATTTTAAAATACCTTTTGTTTGTTTCATACAAAAGGCAGATGAGTCAATCTGCAATTGAGAATTCAAGTCCCAAATTAAACACATCCTATTTACTCTGGATTTTGTAATAAATTATCAAAAGTGCTAAATGAAATTGAGAAAGTCATCATCCTACCCAAAACAGAACTTCTTTTGCAGGCATCATTAAGGTTGAGTACACTTGCGCTTTTTTGAAGCCATCTGCTGTGTTGCTGACCTGTACACTGCTGCGTGCTGCTGCCACTGCTGCTACATGTGGCCGTTTCCTCCCGGTACCAGCCGGCTGCTGCTGCTGCTTCACGCGCCTGGGACACAGTGGCCAGTTTCATCTGCTGACAGAGGTGTGATTCCTGTTGTCGGTACAAGAGCCCCTCTGTGAGCTCCTCACGCTCCTCTAGGGTGGTGTGCGGGGTGAGCAACAACAAAAATATGTTACAGTCCATAAGCAGATCAAACAGATCATTTCTGTTCATTTATAATAAATCAGAAGACATGATAATAATAATAATAATAATAATAAAAAAAACGTCAATCCCCTAAAATGTCACCCCAGCTGCAACTTTGTTTATCTGTAGCCACAACTTTTGTCTTTGTTCAGACATCTTTAATTGATCGGATCATTTTGCCGATTAGATGCAAGAGACACAGAATGCAATGTTTTAACAGACGCAGAATGTAATGTTTCTTAGTTAGAGCAAGCATTGATGTCAATCGGAAAGGTAATTTTGCACTTCATAAAATTTTTACAAAAAAAAAAAAAAATCCCCTGCAGCTAAGATGGATCTAATTAGAAACGAATTAATACATTTTTAAGCTTCTGCAACAATGGTGTCTGGATGTCGGAGAAAGAAAATATATACACTATCCTGAGGCTTTTAATTGTTGTGGACAGTATTTGCATGCAAAGACTGTATCCCTTGTGCAGATTTAAAAAGATATCCAACTGCTCATTATCTCCCAAATAGTGAAAAGTTAAAAAAAAAAAAAAAAGAGTTGGGAATTTCCCCATTGTGAGACAAATAAAGGTTTTCTTATCTTATCTTAGTCTCTGTTTGGCCAACAGTTTAATTTTATTGTTTCATTGGGGGAAAAAAACTTGAGAATCTTGAATTATGAAGTCACGTATGATTAATAGCCATTACCATCACACCCATAGTTGGATTTATTAATGCCGCAAAATATAAAATCATTTTAGGGAATAAATTTGCCTTGGGTGCTTTCTACAAGCATTGCCATCTAGTGGCTACTTTCGCGGTTGATTTATATAACAAAAACAAAATCCATGTCATGCTTTTATTACTCAAGTTTTTATTTGCCAGCATGATGGACCAGTGGTTCGCATGACTGCTTGACAGTTCGGAGGTTTGAGGTTAAAATTTCTGCTCCGCCCTTCCTGTGTGGAGTTTGCATGTTCTCCCTCTGCTTGCATAAGTTTTACAATACAATACAATACATCCTGATTTATATAGCGCTTTCACAACAGCTGCGGCTGTAACAAAGCGCTTAACAAAACAGTTAACATAAAGTAAAATAATAAACACAACACATAACATAAAACACGGACAGTCATTCTCTCGGTACTCCGGGTTGGTCCCGTCTTACAAAAAGACGCATCGGGTAATTGGAGATTTTAAATTGTTCATTGGTGTGAATGGCCCCACTTGTGGTTGTTTGTCTATATGTGCCCTGTGATTGCCTGGTGACCAGTCGAGTATGTACCACTTCAGCAGAGGTGTCAAATCAATGTCCAGAGAGTAAAAACACAACAAGCTCCTGGGGAGTAGCAGAAGAATCCGTGGCTAAAGCCAAACTGTGGCAGGGTTTTTACTTTCTGGACCTGGATATTTATAATTTTCCATGAAACTGTTCATAAATATAAATGGATAAAACCTATGTCCAATTGGCCCCTCATAGACATGTCGAAAGGCTGTTTGCGACTAAAAACGCAAAACTCTCCAATGAAGCACTTATTGAGACCAGGAGTGACACATTTCTGACACAACGGAAGGGCGAGTGCACTCGTAACTATTACATCAAGCTGACTCACAGATGCTCCGCTGAACATGTACATAAGTGAAATAATTACACCAAAACCTTGTGTCACAGAGTCTAAAATGAACCGTAGGCGTAATGCAGTTTGACAGGCTATTATGTAATACAGTACAACTACATAAGTCGACAGGCGCCCTCTGTTGGTCCAGCCGAGCTCTATCTTAGAGCTTCTGCTAAAAGACGCCAACCTTTCATGGACAATTTCAAAGGACTGTGGCGAAGTGTCTCTCACTCTACCTGTGTGTTGTAAGAAGGACAAAGCTGCTGCTGCCGCAGGGTGGCAAGCCATTCTCCTCTGTGGTTGCTGATCATGGAAGCCCGACGTTTGAGGTCTGGGTAACTTGCTCAGGGGCTCAAACATCACTTTGGCTTGGCCGTCCTGGTTGGACAATGGGTGGCAGGTGGCGTGGCCGAGCAGAACCGGCGTTGGCAGAGAGGCAGGGAAGAAGAGATCTCTGTGCTCCTTGTATTTAGGCGTGGTAGGCGCGTCGCATATGGGCTGCGGGAGACACAGAAAGGGGGAGTTGTTATGAGCAGCTCTCACTGACTGGGGGTGCACCAGCCGAACGCAGCTCAGGTAGGTTAAGATAGCATCCTCTGATCTTGAGTGACAACCTGATCAAAAACTCTCGGTTGTGAAGGAAGCCAAACGAGCCAAAGTTCTGAGTCCACAAATCTTATCACTTCCCTAAATTGCGGTCTCTGAATCCCTCTCTGCTGCATTCCTGAATGTCTTTTAGAGGACCACTTACAAAACACAAGAGTTGCACAAACAACCTGTGACAACAGTGGGCTGGCTCCCACAGCTGCTGCCATGGCAACAGTGGAGCACAGTTAGCAGAAATGAATACTTTCTCTCATCCTCCTTTTTAAATGGATGAAAATTGAATAAGAGAATGGAAGGACCTCGATGGCCAGGTTCTTCATGGCTGTCTCATGTTGTTCAAATTCTGGGATACAATGTTGAAAACCCTGCCCCCGCCGACAACATGCGTTTTTACAAATGAATCATAAAAGCACAAAATGTTCAGCAATGGTGAAACTCTTGTGCAAAAGCCTTTTCGAATCTCAGCTGGCATGTAAAGTAGGAGCTTGCCAAGGGGATCATATTGCAGAGAGCAGGGAAATTGAATAAAGAAGAAAGAGCAACCTTCCCAATCCATGGACAACACTTACACAGTTGTGCCAGCTTTGATGATTCACTCAGTAATGAAACATCAGCACAACAGACACCATTGGGATAGCTCATCTTATGAAAATCCCAATTCCAAAGCAGTTGGAACATTGTGTAAAACAAAAATAACAGAACACAATAATGTGCAAATGCTTTTCAACAAACCATATATTCAAATGCTTACACTATAAAGGCAAGATATTTCATGTTTAAACTGATCAACTTCATTGCTTTTGTTTTGTGGAAGTATTCACTCATTTTGAATTTGAATGCTTGCAACTCAATGTGTACGTGTGCATGTGTGTGTGTAACCTGCAGATCTTGTGAAGGCACCATGAAAGCTTCTACAATTAGTGTCCACGGTTGCCAAACGCTTGTTGAGTGTTGTTAAAGGTTTATCTGTTTTAACAATAAATATCTTGTCTGTGTACTGAATTCAATTTAGGTTTAGGATTCACAAATTATTGTATTCTGTTTTTTTTCTTTTGTTTTATGTTTTACACAACATCCCAATTTCTATGGAAATGGGGTTTGTGTTAGCAAATCTCAGCCTTCGAAACCTGCGGCACACCACATGGAACCAGTCTGAGTGTGACAGAAGCCAGATTCTTAGAAATGTGTTTGAGGGAATAAGCAATCAATTGTTGATTAAGTCAGATTTGATTGAATTAAAGCGGAAGAGATTTTGCTCGTTGGTGGGGTAGCAGTTTCACTTAAATTGGTTGCATTGTAGTTCAATTTTTGCCCCGTGATTGGTTGGCAACCAGTCAATGTTGCACTACGCACACCTCTCACCCGAAATCAGCTAATCAAGGCTTCAGCCCACGCTTGACCCGAATAAAGGGGTCATTTCGAAAATGAGGAGATGAATGGGTGGTTTAACTTTTAAATGTGAAGGTGTTTGTTTGCTTCAACCGTTTGTTAAACTGTGAAAGGAATTGCTGAAAAATGTTTTTTTCCACGACTATTCATTTTATAAGTTAAAGATTTAAAAAAGTAACCCAATACCTCACCAGTTTTCCCAATCATTGGTACAGTGGCGTTTAAGAACTGAACAAGGTGCGAGACTGGCCTAAATCAGATTAGCGCAGATGTGGATGTAGTTCCGATGGAGGAAATTTAAAATAATATAAATAAATGCAACCACCCAGCCAACGTTCATTCTCAGTGCTACACAGGCACCTTGGCACTCTGTACTTGTGTGGGCTTGAAAGAATGTGTGGACGTGGAAGCAGGCAGAGAATTTTCACGTTGGGGCCTGGAGCACAGAGGTGTCTCCTCACATTTGCTACTCTGCGATGTGAGCAGGCGGCGCAATGATTCCACATAGCCAGCTGTTAGATTAGGCTGCAGAAGTAGGAGGCCGCCAGATGCACCCTCTACTCTTTTATTAGGATGTGATGAAGTCGAGTCACGGGCAATGGGGAGAACAGATAGGGTACTGAATATAATATGGTGGTGATTTTTGTTTTGTTTTGTTTTGTTTTGTTTTAATTAGCATGGTCTTGCGCAAATCAATTAGGAACATTCAGTTTGTATCACAGTTTTTACGAGAAGACATTCATATGTGCCAGTGTTTCATTTCCATCTTTGACCAGATTGGTTGCATAGTGACGGCGCTTCTGAACAGGCGAGTGACAGGCAAACTACAGCTGTGCTGAGATCAATGACATAATGGGAACTAGCGGAAAAGGCACAAGTGCCAATAGGGAGGTTCACTGGGTTATATTTAGCGCCGGCATCGACTTGAATAAGTCTGGGAATCACCAAATTATTTATCAATTTGGCACAATTTACCTCCTGATGAACAAGATGAAATGCACGCTGAATACCGGCAAATATTTTACGTCAATACACTAAACCTGAAAATGGGAGAAAATTCATCTGTTCAGCACTATTCACGAGTCTGGGAGAACTTTTGACAAGATTTTGGAGTGTGTCTGTGGAGAGTTTTCAATGATTAATGATAGTCAATGTGTTGGACTCCGGCGCCTCACGCACGATTCTCTATTCTCGCTGCTTGGTGCAGTTCTGCCACATCACACTGACACAAACATGCCTTGATTGTCCTCGCGAAGGTTTGACATTTTCTGATTGGCTTCAAGGAATTATTGTTAAAACCCTTTTCAAAATACAAGATTAGGGAAACCATTTTTTTGGAGAGGGAGGAGAAAGAGCACCAATGAAAACATGAGTGATATTTTACACTTTTAAGTAGTATCAATGGCACTAAGCTCTTAAGCGCCGCACTGCCATCTGTTGTCGTTTGTGGTACATTTGTTGTTCAATCAAATCTACAATACTGTTGCTGTAACTCTTCAAAAAGTTCAACGTCACTTGTCATCGCAGGGTATGATAACTTTTTGGTGTGAATTCCAGTCAGACTGAAAAGAGTGTGACTGTGTGGCTCCGAATGAATGTTCACGCTGCGGGAGTGCGAATACGTGGTGAGTAACAAAGATGAGCTGGATGTACCTGTCGCTGGGCAGAAGTAGCCAACTGTATCTGGCAGAACTTCACAGCCTGGTCCAGAGCCACATCCTCATCAACCTGAAGCAAGAAGAGGAACAATAATCATATTAGAACAGTGTGCGAATCACAGAGGCTTACGCTTCATAAATCTCTTTTGATGTGCTCTTTTGTGCATGTGTCAAATGAACAAAATACAAAACTATGATGGATTTCCAGCTCTGTATCAGAATCACAATAGTGGATCGATCAGCGAACCAGCGGAGTTAAGCACTGTTTGCAGCGGTTGCTATGCTGAGCATGTGAGCGTAGTCGAGCTCGGCTATCGCCAAACATGGTGCAATTAGTGGTAATAGTCATCAAACTGCTATATTGTTCCTTGCAGCAGGCTGCTGGATGGAGCAGATGAGCTATTCCCCCAAACGGTGGGATTCTGTAGGCTAGTTTGGAGTTGTTTGATATTGCCAATACTTTCACTGAGGATATAGCTTTCCTTTCAATGGTTTGAAAAGTTGTTTAAAAATACTAGTGCCAACATTTTTACAATAGTAGTTTGTATCTTACATCTAAAAGAACAAATAGCTTAAAATAAATCAAGATAAGTCCATTAAATAGAGCCATGCAAGGAAGAAAGTCTGTTTGTAGGTGTAGTGATGATGGAGCACTATAGAACTATACGGTAGAATAAAATCAAAAGTGGCTGTTGTCAATAGTGGACTCATGTGGAACTACTGTATTGTGCTGCGTGCTGTGCCCACTTGCGTTTGTGAGACAGAGAAAATCTTACTGAAGTTCGTTCTCATCATCCTCTCTCTCCCTCTCTCTCCCTTCTGGCTACTGCCTTCCCACTCCAGTGCTGTGACAATAATTTCTGTGGGGCCGACATTGATCTGCAGCTCAATAGGCTTGTTCGGGCTTGTTTTGCAGCCACAGGATTGTACAGTCAGACAAGTGTAACATTCAAACACGATACAGTTCATCCTCGCTGGATGGGTCCAGTTGTGATTCGGCAGAATTGATATTTTGTTGTTCTATATTAAACACTTTCTCTCCATGACTTCCATCCATCAATGATGTATGCTGCTTGCCCTCCAGAGTCACAGAACCAACAATACTGTAGATATAAATTAGTCCTCTCCCAAAGTCAGAAGCCCGTTGACCGGCAGGAACAACAACAAATGCAAAAGAATTACATTGGGTAAGAGAGAACAACCAATCAGCATGTTTCATCCAAATCTGTTTTATAGCTCAAAAACGTAAGTTGGAAAGTGTTTTATAGCGGTTGTCTACAAGAAGCAGTGTTTGTGAGGGGTAATTTCATCTAAAAGGAGGCCATAAAAGCTTACATGACTATGCAGAATCAAAAGAATTATAGTAGATGGCAACACAGTATGAATGTGTGCACAATTGGTACATGTTGTGTGGCACATGCAAAGGACATTTACCTGTTTTATGAGCATGTACGTCTCTGACATGATCTTTTCAATGCGACCTAGGTCGTAGGTCATAACTTTCTGGCCTTGTTGCCAAACTCTGTAGGCGTCAAGTAGGAGGGTTTTCCCAGACTCTACATCCTCTAAAAGTTTCCTTTTTCTGCTGGGTCTTCGAAGTAAAACTTGATCAGGGCTGCTAGCTGTCAAAGTGGCCTTGCTTGCCGAAGACTGAAGCTGTTGCTGCCTGGAACTAATACTTAGCTCTTCAAGAGACAGCTCCGATGTCCGGCTGCTGTCAGACACTTTTTGCTGGGGCTCTATTGTGCCCAGAGAGACCGGTGTCTCTGTTTCCCTGTCTTGAGTATCTGTGGTTGTTGATGGTCTCCTCCAATGGCCAGATTCCAAATCCATTGGCTCCTCTGACCCTGTTCTGTGCCCTTCACTCGCAGCAGATTCCACCTTTCCAGGTTGATTCTCAACTTTGCCACCTTTATCTGCAGATGGTGCGAGTGGAGGACGTTGTGGTAGGGAGCCTTCCTTGCGTCCAGTGTCAGTGGTACAGGTCCCTTCTGTGAGCGCCGCCTTTTTGGGCAGCGCATGTTTGCTGTCCTCTGAACTTGGCCTGCTGGATGCGGCCGTCGTGGTCATCTCCCCCATGGAGGTGGTCGCTGCTTTGGGAAGCTGCACCTGAAAAACAACCATAACAATCAGCAAAAGGAGGGTGTGGTTTTAAGGAAATCCAGTAAGTAGCCTGATGTGTGCTTTCTTACCGCACTGAGACTCTTCAGATTGTCCTCCAGGACTTTTACATTGAGGAAAAATGCTCTCTTGGCCAAAACCTGGCGATCAACATCGCGTAAATATTTTCTTGATGGATTTAAGGAGGAGAGAAGTGCGTGAGAAGGAGCGATGACAGAAAAAAAATGCATATGCATAAGTCAAAAGCAAACACGATAGTGCTACACAGGAAATTGGCCCTTACTTTCCCTGGTCAGGGGTTCTCTGCAGCATGAAAGACACTTTCAGCAAGGTGTCGTGATCCTTGAGTTGTGATAGCACCTCCAGCAAGAGAACAATGGATCGGTTCATATGAGATGCAAAGCTTCCTGGGCGATCAATTTCATCTACTGGAATACGCCAGATGCCCTGGGGGTGGAAAGGAAATTGAAACAAGGAGCAGAAAGCGCAGTCATTTGTGACTGCTTTACAAAAAAACCAAACATTTTATATGACAAACTACAGCTTTATTTGAAAACACAGTGGACATAAACAAAGAGAAATGGTGTTTCGAGGGAGCTTCCTTGGGTGCAACTAGTGGCTTTACAACTCTAAAAAAACAAATAGACTTTGCGTGTCGGAAAACAATTAGCAATGAGGATATTTGAAAGGAAAGACGCAACGGAGCAGAAAGTAACAGAATTAGGTGTGAGGGGGAAAACATGGCATTCGAAAAAGCACTAATGAGGGATGGAAAGGCTGCAGCGGAGATCTTGCAGACTGCCTGGACATGTAAGAGGCAGGAGGGAGGCACAGAGAGTGTTTTCTCTGGGCACACATGATAGGAAGCCTCATTAGTTCTCAGTTGTGGCCAAGCAGTGCAACACAGCCACAGAATGGCGGCCAACAAACATAGGCCATTCTCTGCAGAAGCCGTGATGTGTCCGCCGATGGCCAAATGCACCTTTTCAGTAAGCATGTGCCTGCTTGGCAGGCAAAAAATGGGCCTACTTCTATCTAGCCTACAATTTTTTTCATCAATACAAGTGCAGATGGCGGCCTAGGTTACATTCAGGATGCATGCTGCGCAGAGTGCATATTCTGGCGGCCGAAAATGTGTGTGAGACAAAACAAAGATGATCAGGATGGAACACAACAAATGAGATGGCTCTATCAGCTCATGGAGCACTTTTGGGAGCCTGGTGGTCCTCTGAACAGACAGCTCCAGATGGTCAGATGGCATATTCCAAGGCTCTGGAAGGAAACTAAGCGGGAAAGCACGACGCGGGAAACAAAACAAACGATAATACATATCTACAGACAAAGTTCCCAACTACTGACAAAGTAACAAAGCCACCACCAAAAATGCACAACATATGATTGTATTTTGAACCATTATATGTAGCAGCTGCCCAGTAGGTGTGAATTTTATACCAAATTTTTTCTTCACATATTCTTTGGTGCATAACCTCATCATAAAATTGAATCTGCAGTGCCAACAACGTTTCCCAAGGCTAAACTCACTCAATGCAGCCTTACATAAGGAAGCAAGATGGGCATAGTAAAGTTTTCCCTGCTCAGATTCCAAGGACGCAGGTTAAGTATGCTAAAGATATTTTGAACAGCCTCTAATGGACGAGGATTGTTCATAGAACCATCAAACCATCATCAATGTAAATCTGTTTTGGGGAAAGCAAAGCCATGGCTTTACGCAGATTATTCTGGAGCACAACAGCTAAAGCAGATTTGTAAAACTGAAATGGTTTTAAGCATCTTTTTCAGGAGAAAATATAACCAGTGCCAGTGGAGGCGCACCTCTGTTGTGGTGAATATATCACACAACAACGAAACAGGCAGAGACTTAAGAAAACAAGCACTATGTAGAAATTAAGAAAAGTATACATTAAGAGCAACAGTATTGGTAGCGTGACAAAAGTGAGAAGTACAGTACGCTGCGCTCAAGCTTTGTGAATGTGTGAGTCAAAGGTAGAAGTTATGCTTTCACAACGAAACTTTGAACGCCTTGTCACGTCTTCCTGGATACATGTCTCAACACGTACAACACTGACTCAAAGCGGTACAACGAGAAAAAAGTTGGGTCACGTAACTAGTAGCAACCAGTGACAATTGCTGCAGTTTAGCAATCATGACATCAGCATTCTGACAGCCAGTTATGTCTAACTTGAGGAAGGAACTATGTCTTTAAATCAAGCTGGCTGTGACCTGCCATTGTTACAAACAAGTGGCAGGTGCGTGGTACCATTTGTCATCTTGAGCCTCACCAGAAAGAATTACGATCTGCATTTGCTTACACTAATCACAACTCAAAAGTCTCCCAAAATAACCACAACCAAGACTCGGCGTTTCCAAAAGTCTGACAGAAAGCAACTCACCATCACCAAAGAAGGCTATTCCTCATTTCCTATGCTGGTATTTTTTGGAAGGATTGCTGCAGGCGGTAGCAGCGACAGCATCCCTGGCAACGCCTCCAGTCTAATAGAATCTCATGTTCAGAGAGCAAGGGGTGGGCTGCGTTTGGGTGCGAGGGCAGCGGGAGCTGCAGTGGAGAAAACGCGGGAAGCTCAGCTGCACACGGCAGAACCGACAGCAGAAGAAAGGTAGAACGGTAGATGCCTTGGCAAGAGGAGAGTCAGCACTGAAGTCAGGGTCCAAGAGCTCAGGAGACCGCTGACAGAGCAGGAGACTCGCTCCTCTCCTGCCAGCCATCTCAAAACAAAAACACCCACGCACTCCATCTCCACTCTCCCCTGACCCCAGCCTGCCGGAGATCCCCCCGCCCTCCCTCCTTCTCCTGTGCTTTCTCTTGCACTGTACACAGTGCACAGCCAGCCCTTGTAGGCCTGCACCAGCCAATCACATGCGAGCAGCGCAAAGTCCCACCTATTAATGCACACCCACACAAACAGAGGAGTGAGAGAGTAATGAGGAAGCCGAACAAGAGCAACACAGAGAGGAGATAAGTGGAGTGAATAACAGCCAGGGGGAGGGGTAGAGCATGATCATGCTGAAGTCAGAGCAACAGGAAAAGAACATGAGAACATAAACTGGCTGAAAAAGGAATTGAGTGCTACAAAAGCAATGCACAAGTGCACACGGCAACGCTTGGCACACCATGAAAGGCAAAGAACAGGTATGTATAAACACATTCCTTATTAACCAAGTGAAACAAAACACGCGGAACCGCCTTGCCTGACGAGGCAGGAATTCACGGCATACATAATATTTCCTCAGCCAACAGCCCTCACCTGCTTCCTTTCAACACTGGCTGTCTCTCTCCAGATGGCCACCGTAAACATACTAAACATGCATAACCTTGTTTATCCTGTTTCCTGTGTGAGCAGAGAGGGAAAAAGTGCCGGAAAAGGTCAAGTTGAACTGAAGAAAGCTAAGCGAGGCAGCAGAATCCCTACTGACAGAGAGGGCAAATCCGCTAGCATGCAAATCAAAACCTTAGAAAAATGTTTTCACTGCTCAATACCGCTCTCTTACGAACCCCCCCCCCCCCCAAAAAAAAACACGGTTCTCGTGAGTGGAGCTCCACCTACAAACACCACACTGCACAACTGAACACACAAATGTTTTGAGTCATACGTCAAACTGAGGGAAGTAATTCAAGAGTATGGACCATTTTTACAGTAAGGTTCTCCTCTTAGCGTGTCCCGGAAAAGTGGTTAGGACTGCACGACTGTCCGTGTTTTATGTTATGTGTTGTGTTTATTATTTTACTTTATGTTAACTGTTTTGTTAAGCGCTTTGTTACAGCTGCCGCTGTTGTGAAAGCGCTATATAAATCAGCATGTATTGTATTAGGAAAGTTTAAGTGAAGCGGTCATCGTCCAAAACCTGTTCTAAAGAGATGCTATCAGATTGACAGTTGTGTTTGAAACGGGGGCGGAAAGGCACACAATTTAGTTAGTGTTGCAGAAAATGCAAATGCTATTTTCCCCAAGTAAAAGGAGCTGTTTGCAAATGTTCGATACAGATTAAACACAAAGATAATCACTACTCACGTCTTTACATAGAGTCTTGTATTCCAATTAGAGTGAAACCATACTACAAAAATGAAATGAAATGAAATTTCAAAGGTGTGAAATAGAACGCATTCCTGTTGCCAAGTTCCTGCGGAGTATGAAAAGTATAATTTAATCAGTAATTTCATGAAGAATAATCAAAAGTTGTAGAAGGAAAATAGTGCTTCAATTCACATTTAGGTTTTAACTGTAATTTCTCTGTTTGAACACTAGGTGGCACCTCATTTCATGGTGCTCTGCCTACACCGTAAATACGTGAGTAAATGATTACTGCAGCGATCAAACTTGAATGTCAACAAGTCCAGACATCAACCACCGTCCATTCTGGCACTCTTTGCAACCATCAAATGTTTGAGATGCGCGCAAAGAAGTGAGATGGTAATGATGCTTGCCCTCTGCCAGCGATGACGCTCGTTCCCATTGAAGGCAGTGCGCCAAAGCATGTGCATCAAAAATAAGCCATAGTTTGCTCAGTTTGCAAATGCTTTCCGCGGCAGATATGTTTTTATTTTTTTTGTCAACGTCAAAACTTGTCCTATCAATACATAGCATAAATCCTTGACTTTTTTTCTTTTGGTTTTGTGACGCCGAGAAACAGAATGCAGGCGCGCGAAATGATCGAGCCACTCAGTTCCCAGAGCGCATTGCGTGACGCAATACCTTTAATTATAAGGACATTAACCCTTGTCTTAAATGTGTGCTCCTGTTACGAGTAGCTGAATTTGTCACATTTAAACGGTAACATTTCTCTTTTTTTTTGGTTTGCAACATTAAGTTACGTGTGAAATTGTGACATCAATTTCAACTCCTCAAAATCATTGGCGACGTGCAATAAATTATTGGTAAAAGTAATGGAAAAGTAGTTAGTAACTTGGCTACGCTTAAATTGATAGTAAGATAGATATTTCTATTCAATAAACACTTGAAGGAAAAATGTTACTTGGATACCAGAACGATTGCATACTTCGGGGCTCATGCACTTTTTGATGAATAATAGCGATAACTATCGACCGCCGATCCATTGGAACATCCTTGGTGGAGATGGGTAAAATCTGTAACACTGAATCAAATGTAAGCAGACAGGGACGATGGCTCAATATAACCACACAGTGAGGACCACAAAAATTTCAACGATGCTGTTAGAATGACTTACAAAAACACACTAAGGGTATGACAGAGCCAGTTAAGAGAAGTTAGAGGGCCCACCAACCAGCAATGCACTGTATTTCAAATCCATCTCTCTGTCAAATTTTGATCAATTTTGTAGAAGCAGAGCAACAAACTCTTTGGTGAACATGGTGGGAATTTTTTACAATTACAACCACACCTATGTATATTTCGCCACCAATATACTTTCTAAACGGAACTAGTGCAATACAGTCATAGCAAATGGGAAAAGTAGGGCATCCAGACCTAAATTGGGAACTCAACAGACATGTCACCTCACCTTGACGACGTTTCGCGTTGTGCACCATGCTGGGTTTGTAAATTTGTGGCAGTTGTGCATTAGCATAACATTTCTGTCACCAGAGAGATGACTATCAAAATGTTGTATTCTTAAAACACAGACATGTGAGGACTCGTCCGCATGTCAGTAAACCATCAGGCCATGCTGACTTAAGTATCGATGTAAGAGAAGCTTGCCGCTCCACAATGTTGACGACTCCCATATCAACAAAGCAAAAAGTCAGTGCTGGGGAAGGGCTAGTAATCTTAACACGTGCCAAGATAAAGGTGAGGTTCCTCATACCAGCTCAATTTAGTGACTCAGGAAAAAAATCTTTGCAATGATTTAATAAAGGTTGTCGCATGATCATGCTTGCTTTGAAATCCACCCTAAAGCTTTGACAGCTGGCAGACCAGGATGACAGGTTTCATTCCAAAAGGGGCTCTGTGAGAACCCAATAGGAGCTAGCTCACTGCGGAGCACCTGTTCAGCCGTGGCCCACATCGCCTCTGCAATCTGTTACCAGAAAAGGTTTGAGATCTACAGCGCATACTGCAATAACCTGCTGGAAAAGGCAGAAACAACTGATTGGTATGAGACACAGACTTAGGAGCTTGTATTCTTGGTTCTATGAGGAATTAAATAAGCAGGAACAAATCAAAACCTAAGTTGCTTCTGCATTTCTTTTAATTCGGTGGAAGAGCTATAAGAACAGATACTAGATGCAAACTCGATGGGAAGCCAACACATGCCTTGTGAACACAGATCATTCACCTACTGAGAAATGCCATTTATAGAGCTGCTTATGATCCGTTTTCAAGCCAGATTTCCAAGCAGCCAACTGAATTGTGAGCCACGGGTTTAAAAAAAAGGGTAACCCTTATGATATGCCAATACTGTACTCTAATCACAGCAAACACGTGAGCACATCATTAGCGACAAATCATGAGGGCACACATCAGTGCTTCACAAGCTTGTCCCTTGAGATTGTGACTGAGCAGCGAACATGAAGGGTACATTACACTCATCTGAGGCTGCATTGGACACACCTGCACAGAATGAGATCCAATACAAGAGAGAGCTGAGAAGAAAATCTAACATGACATCAAGATAACTACAATGGTGTTCAGTCCGCCTGCCTTGTTTGATTGAAAAAAAAAATCTGTTGGGCAAATCATCACAACGCCATCTGCTCGATCTGGTGTGACACCGCTTGGCTGCAATCCAAGTGAAGTGTAATGGTGAAATGTCAAAATCAATCTCTTGAGTTGAACCTCTTCCAGAACATCCTTTCATAAGGTTTCAAAGAAACCAGTTGTGTAGTTTTTTTGTGTGACACTTGCTCATCAACATACAAAACTACATAACCAACAAAGAGCAATCCAAAGACAACCTCCAGAGGATAGAAGTCTACAGAGCCCTGTGAAAATGCCAGGATTTTGTGATGTGAAAAAATGTGACCAAGCTCAAATAAAAAGTTCAAGCTATAAGAACAGATACTAGATGCAAACTCGATGGGAAGCCAACACATGTCTTGTGAACACAGATCATTCACCTACTGAGAAATGCCATTTATAGAGCTGCTTATGATCCGTTTTCAAGCCAGATTTCCAAGCAGCCAACTGAATTGTGAGCCACGGGTTTAAAAAAAAGGGTAACCCTTATGATATGCCAATACTGTACTCTAATCACAGCAAACACGTGAGCACATCATTAGCGACAAATCATGAGGGCACACATCAGTGCTTCACAAGCTTGTCCCTTGAGATTGTGACTGAGCAGCGAACATGAAGGGTACATTACACTCATCTGAGGCTGCATTGGACACACCTGCACAGAATGAGATCCAATACAAGAGAGAGCTGAGAAGAAAATCTAACATGACATCAAGATAACTACAATGGTGTTCAGTCCGCCTGCCTTGTTTGATTGAAAAAAAAAAATCTGTTGGGCAAATCATCACAACGCCATCTGCTCGATCTGGTGTGACACCGCTTGGCTGCAATCCAAGTGAAGTGTAATGGTGAAATGTCAAAATCAATCTCTTGAGTTGAACCTCTTCCAGAACATCCTTTCATAAGGTTTCAAAGAAACCAGTTGTGTAGTTTTTTTGTGTGACACTTGCTCATCAACATACAAAACTACATAACCAACAAAGAGCAATCCAAAGACAACCTCCAGAGGATAGAAGTCTACAGAGCCCTGTGAAAATGCCAGGATTTTGTGATGTGAAAAAATGTGACCAAGCTCAAATAAAAAGTTCAAAATGTTTCCACGTGTAATGTGTCCTAAAACCTATGAAATATTTTTTGAGAGGGGAAATAAAAATAAAGAACTGGGATAATGTGGATGCACCATCTTAAAACTGGAGATGTGGCTCTGTTCAGAATTAAACAATCAGATTCAAACTCGTGTTAAATGGCAGTCAGGACACAATTTAAAGGTCAAGAGTCAAGTGAACTTGGCCAACCATCTTTTGCGTAATACTTAAGAGTTACAACTATTTCAAGCATAGTTTTGAAAAATTGTTTTGTTCAGCAATCTCCAACGAATGACATTATTTACAGAATGCCGAGTGCCAGGCAGCCGTTGTACTGCATTGTTAATTGTCCCCTTAACTGCTCTTTGACATTGTTAGTTATTCGGCGAAACTCCTCGGCGCTGTGTGGTGATGCACTGTTCACATTCAGGCAAACAGTTGTTTGAGTGGCCAAAAGAAAAGAATAGGGCACGTATATGCACCAGAAATTTGGAATGATACAGTTTCATCCTGTAAAGGGAATGAATTTCATGCCAGTGTCGATGAGTATTCGTGTTACATTTAAAATTGTGTCTGTAGCTTGCATGAGATTGATAGGCGTTAATAATATTTGTCCACTTTCATGTACCAAAATAATGTAAGCAAAATAGAAAAAGCATGTCTTATGAAGATTCAGTGCAGTTAAATCACTCTCACTGTATCCGTTCAAAAGTGTTTATGACCCACATATTATATTAAGCCTGCCATTTGAATATATAGATGAATGTTTAATGATTCAGTGATAACTGGTATCTACAAAAAGCTGATAAGAAATGTGCGGTGATAAAGTGACACAGGAAAAACAACATAAAAGGAACTGTGGACTGAACTTACATTGAACAGGTTTGTCTTGTTTCTTTCACAGAAGAGTCCTTGTGCAGGCATGTGCTTCTGTTGTTGCCATGGGACACTGCTTCCTAGCAACACATCTCGGGCCCACTGTAGGTTCTGTGGTAATAAATAAATTAATAAAAAAACACGTCTACATTTTAATAAACGCAACATTAAACTATCATCATGTAGATGGCCTTCTATCATCACAGTATGTTTGCTTGCATGTTGTGTAAACATTTGCTAAAGTCTAAACGGTGCTCATTGACAATCAGGAAAACCCTAATATGCAAAGAGCTAGGAAAAGGTAAGCTAAAATGTATATTTAAAAACATAGTAACAACAAGTACAATAAATAGTAAATAACGAACAATGTGAATTAGTGGAGATATAGCCTCCATTACAATGGATCAGAAAACTGACAGAAGGATGCCCCCACAGTATAGCTGAGCGCAGCATCTCTGTGCCAAACTGGCTGAAAAAGCATGGCTCTCAACCCACACATACCTCAACCCACAGAGTATTGGAACTCACATAGCCTTCGTCAGAAACTAATGTGCAGTGAAAGAAATCGAATGCAAACAAGAGAAGTTGAGGGGAAAATGAGGCAGCCATTGTAGCTGATATTACAAATTCTGATTATACCTGTAGTCTGTAGATAGTGTAGTCATTAGTTTAATTACATACTGTGCTGGTATTACACAAATGGGTGGCATGTTATTCTTTAACAAGAAATGACAGAGGTGTACTGACCTGGTGGGTTTTGCTGTTGGTGTAAAAGAAAGCCAGGCGGTAGAGACTCTTATAATGTTGAGGAAACCGCCCAAGGCAGAGGAAAAGAGAGCGGACGCACATTTCCACCAGCATTTTTTTCTGGTCCGCATGTTCTGCAGGCAGGGCCTTGGGTACCTCAATCACCTCGGCGGGTGGCTCTGGCTTCTTTTTGCCTTCGCTGGCTGGGGTTTGAGAAGCAGGCTGTTGAGAGGTAGCTGCTTTCGGAGGAGTGGCTGGTACAAGCACAGGCGGGAGGCAGACATTTGCAGAGATTTGGGGAATCGAAGCCTCAGGGAGGGTCACCACCACCATTTCCACGATTTCCTCAACCAGGTTTTCCTCTGTCTGGTGGACAGTCTGATCGCCATGTGACTCTAGAGGAGGAAGCAGCAGATGTAACACTGAAGACTGGTGAAATGGAAGGAATACTACAAACCCAATTCAAAGTTGGTACGTTGTGTTAAACAAATGAAAACAGAATACAGTGACTTGAAACTCATGTTCTGCCTATATTTAATTGAATATACCACAAAGACAAGATATTTAATGTTCAAACTGAAAAACCTTTATGGCTGCAACACATTCAAAAAAAGCTGGGAGATGTGGCAAAAAAGACAAACACCTGTTTGGAACACCCCACAAGTGAATAGGCTAACTGGGAACAGATGACTGCCATAATTTGAAAATTGTGTTTGTATTGATACATCCATCCATCCATTTTCTGATCCGCTCATCCTCACAAGGGTCACGGGGATCCTGGAGCCTATCCCGGTCGTCTTGCGGCAGTAGGCAGGGGACACCCTGAACCGGTTGCCAAACAGTCGCAGGGCACACAGAGACAAACACCTGTTTGGAACACCCCACAAGTGAATAGGCTAACTGGGAACAGATGACTGCCATAATTTGAAAATTGTGTTTGTATTGATACATCCATCCATCCATTTTCTGATCCGCTCATCCTCACAAGGGTCACGGGGATCCTGGAGCCTATCCCGGTCGTCTTGCGGCAGTAGGCAGGGGACACCCTGAACCGGTTGCCAAACAGTCGCAGGGCACACAGAGACAAACACCTGTTTGGAACACCCCACAAGTGAATAGGCTAACTGGGAACAGATGACTGCCATAATTTGAAAATTGTGTTTGTATTGATACATCCATCCATCCATTTTCTGATCCGCTCATCCTCACAAGGGTCACGGGGATCCTGGAGCCTATCCCGGTCGTCTTGCGGCAGTAGGCAGGGTACACCCTGAACTGGTTGCCAAACAATCGCAGGGCACACATGGACAAACAAACATCCGCACTCACAATCACACCTACGGACAATTTCGAGTGCCCAATCAACCTGCCATGCATGTTTTTGGAATGTCGGAGGAAACCGGAGTCAACCCACGCAGACCTAAGAGAACATGCAAACTCCACACAGGGGAGGGGCCGGAATCGAACCCTGCACTTCTGCATTGCATTGCTGACATGCTAACCAGTTGACCACCGTGCTGCCCTGTTTGTATTTATGAAACTTTTTTAAAAATGCATGAACGCAATGTGTACATACAATACAGGTACATGCATAGTGAGATCGTACTGTAAATTTGCGGACATCTCTTTCAGGCAAAGAATAGTATAGTCTGATGTCAGTATGTGAGTCCTGGTATACCCGTATCCTCGGATGCAGGCTGTCCTTCCTTCACAGGCGTTGTGCTCTCTGATGATGACGTACTGACTTTCCCACAGGCAGGTTTGTGACTACTGTCTTGTGAGCTGGTTGGATCTGTGAAAGCATCCTGGGTGGAGTTGGAGTCAGAAAGCATTACCACCTCGCTGTCCTGACTGCGCTCTGCCAAAACAAGAAACAACACAAAAAGTCATTTCACCAGTTGAATGGCTATAGATCTATTGAAAATCATGAAAAAGCATTTCAAGTTCATTTTGCCTAAAAAATGTCTATATGTGGGTCTTTAGTTCCAGTGTACTTATACTGTACATTGTTTTAAGATATTGATGACCTTTAAGTCCTAAGTGAGTCACACAGACTTTAAGTAAGAACAATACAAGGAGGTTGTAACACAAAGGGGGTGTGGGGGGAGGCGGGTGTAAGTAGGATGGGCAGGATTGGACAGTTTGGAAAGCCGACCAAAACTATGTCAGTTCCGCTAAATTGTTACTAGAGATATGGAGGATCATTGGCAGAGAACTGTATATAACCAAATGAGGAGTGGAGGAAAGCACACAGGAATTTTCACAGTCACGAGTGAACAGCAAACATCTTATGGCACTGGAGATGAGTAATTAAAGTTAAAACTGTGAAAATGTGTGCCTCTGTTAAGAATGCACTTCATTACAGAGCTGTTTTCTGACTGAAGGCAAAGCCTCTGAGAGAGTTTGGTGGGTTTGGAGAGCAGTACCATTCAGGGAAGCCAGCCACATTGAAGACCTGGGCAAGCAGTAATCATGGTCAAACTCTGGTGAGGCTGTTGAAGATATGGGGAGCTGGTTTTACAACAGTATCAAGCAGAACTGTACCTCTGAATGCATTTTATACATTACATTTAAAATGCAGGCTGGTTACAAAAGAAAAAAAAAATCATACATTTTTGTCAAATGGGGGCATCAAAGCCAACCCCCTTGTACAACCCAATTCAGACAAAAAAATTAATCCTTTCAATTTTGTTGCAAGAATCATAATAAAGACATTCTTATTCTTGGACAATAATGTTTCTCTATTCGACTACATGTAACTTAACCTTTTGCCCTGTGAACCTAAATCTAGCTAGTCAATACCTTGGTCAATGCGAGCAGAGATTAATAGGACAACCAGAATAAAGCTATGATTGTCTATCATTGCGTTAAAACAGAATCAAGAGAAAGTACCGGTACATGTGGAAGGACAAAGGACAATCTTTCCGATGACTTTATGTCTGAATCAGGCCCTACAGTCTTCTCGCCGAAATGTGCTTTTAAGCAGAAAAACTGGCTAACACGTGCATAGTGCCACATTTCCATAACTTGGGTTTCAGTTCTTTGCCAATAACAGACCACCCACTGGTTTCTGAGTGTGCTCATTTGCACTAATTGGATAGAATTTCCAAATATGTCCCATTAGTGCGATGAACACATGAATCACACAGGACAAGGCATCTCCAGGGAGTCAGGATTTTTAGTCAAGTTAAATCCACACTGAAATCTAACAAAGCACAACTATGTGAAGCACCAGACCAAAAGGTGAATTGTGTTAAGGATCTAAGTTGTCTCAGTACTGAGGACAGTGACCCCATTGGAACTACATGCATATACAGTAATATACAGGCAAAGCAGGTGGTCAAAGCAAGCAGGCAAAAGAGGTAGCAGGCAGGTAGGGAGGAAGGGAAAAAAATCTGGAAAACAGGGACAAACCTGGCAACATGGGCAATATGGCTGCATTATAAGCACATTCAAGCCTAACGTGGAACATTGGATGTATGTTCAGGCAGTTTTTTTATTAAGTAAAATGATATTCACCCCCCCCCCAAAATGTTGAAGAATCATTTGTGTATGGATTAGTTAAAAACATGACACTCTACTTAATAATGCATTTGTGTAAAAATAATTTAACAAAATAATTAATCAGTCAAAGAGGGGTGCCATGTTGGAAGAAATCATTATGAGCTGAACAGCGGAAGCGAAGACAAAACCACAGTAGCGCCTTGCTTGGTTATACGGCGGGAAGTTGAACTGTGCCAGCTGACAGACTGCTGCTGAGAGCGATGGATTTAATCATTTGATCTTGTGTACACAATGGCTAAAATGCAAAACATACAGCGGTCATCAGAGGAAGTGTTGGCAAGAGTAAAAGCATTGTACATCAGTTTGTCGAGACGAAAGGGATCCAGATCAGGTCACATCTCAGTAAGTACTTGGAACGTTTATGATTGTGGTTTATTATGTTGTTTTTGTACATGTAATGAATATGAAGGCTGTCATTTCAGAATATCGACTAACTCTATGGTTTTGTTCAGTAAAAGTAAGAAAAACTGGCAGGAATTGGCTCACGCGCATGGAATTCTTGTGAATTCACACTTGCGAGAGCAAAAGACCTTCAAATGGCAGTCCCCAGAAGCGAGTAGATGCCATGTTTTAATTTGTATTGTTTTCAAAATAAAAGCTTAGTAGATTTAAGTAAACAGCAGCAGAAAAAAAAGGTTGCACATTTGAAATACAAGAGAAGGTTTTGACATGCTGAATTTATTTCCTCTTTTGGATTTTTCTGGTTCAGTTGAATGAATGACCTCAATCTTTAGTTTAGGGAATTAATTTGCTATATAAGAAATTTCTTTCATTTGTAATTTTCTACAGTATTTGATTCATGAAAAACTATCTCCCTCATATTTATTGCCTTTACTAATTTTAGTGGATTCTATGCTCTTATTTCATATTATTAGGTTATATTTATGTATAGTTTTACATTAGATATAATATAGATTATATCTCTGTATTTGTCTGTTTAATATCCGTGGGCTCCTTCAACCCAATTGCCTCCAGGATGAAGGAAGTTGTTTAAAGTGAAATGGTGGCAGTCATCAATGATGGAGCAACTATATTTGGAGAAGGAAACCGACCAACTGGGAAGGAAAGCAAAAAGGACAAAGCTGTGACAAGCCACACAGATGCATGCGCACATTACAGCCAGTGTGCCCTCGCAAACTTTACATCTACCGCTTTTTAGTAATGCAATGTAGTCAAGTAGACTGTAGCCATATTGCCCATTTCACCACATCCCAATCATCCAGTGCAAAGGGTCCATTGAACTCAAACCAAGGCCACACAGCATGGTGATTATCAATCTGAGAGCTCCTCAGTGGACTTCCTGCCCCAATGCAAAAAGGGCGAGGGGGCCCAAGCACAGAGACAGTGCTTAGAACTGGGACTGTACCATCAGCCTGCTGTTCCTCATGCCGCTGCTGCTGCCACTGCTGCCGTCGGAGAGTTTTGCGTTTGGCGTAATCGTGGTCAAATGGTGTGGCGACGTAGAGAGGGGATGTCACACCTGGAGTGGCAACTGATGGAAGGGAAGAGCTGAGGATGTTGCCTACGCCTACCGAGGAACTATTAAGGTCTTCATCTATCACAGAGGTAGATTTCTCCCTGAAATGAATGAGTAAACGTGATTTTTACAATGTAAGATTCAAAATGTAATCATTACTCTTGTGTGACCTTCGATAAGGTGACTTACTTTTCAGTAGACCTGGGTATGCTAGGCATACTCTTCTCTTCCCCTTTGGCAAAGGGCCCTGTCGCAGCTTCAACCAGTAAACTGAACAAGACTTCATGGTCCAGATTGGGCTCGTTAGCCTGCAGCAGCTTTAAAATGGTGGCGCTAAGCCGGAAGTGCAACTGGAAGAAATCAAGTTAACGTGTGCTTTCAAACAACAAAACTAAGTACCTCATAATTCAGCACTCGGGTTGAAATAACAGTATGCTGGACAATCTTGCGCAATTTACCTCCAGGGCCTCCATAGCCAGGTCAGGTGGATTGTGATAATGGATTTTACGAGGATACCTGGCAGCCTCTTCATGCAGAAAGTGTGCTGCCTTCAAATTCAAACAGATAACACTCAACAAAGCAGTCAAGTGCGATGTGGTAATATAAATAGATGAAATGACAAGGGTTCTTGTTTGGAAGAGGAAAGTTATATCATTGCTGTTATACGAATGCACTATGCTTGCATAGCAAGCCACCCAATCCCTCCCCAATCTTCTCCTGACCTCTACGACATTGTGTTTGAAATTCCAAAGTTCACCTGCCTCCATCAATTTCATCATAACAACAGAGCTATGACTAATGCTTTATGTTTTTTTATCTCTTGGGAAAACACACACACACACACACACACACACACACACACACACACACACACACACACACACACGCACACACATCTTGTGAGGGGAAACAGTTTTTTTTTTTTTTTTTTGTGTAGGTGGATTATGAAACAAACAATCTCAAGAGTGCAGCCCTGTTTAGGAAAAAACAATGTAAACAGATCCATCACATTTATTTTGTTTTTCGATGAATACAATCCCAGTGGTTTTATGATACAAATATTATTATAGAATAAGTATTATTCTTCAAACTGGTGTATATTAAACTGGCACAAGTCCGTTTTTGGAAACTCAAAATCATGTTGTTATAAATACTATTCCCAAATCGGTCAACCCCTGGGCTGGCCTTTGCTGGGACAGGACAGTTAAGATTACCGGTAATTACATTTTTTCGGACATTTTCCTTGATGTGTAGCGAGGGGCACAGGTGCATCGCCGGGACATGAGGACGACATACGTAGGACATTTGCGGTTTGATTAGCCCAACACTACCAGCAAAAGACAAATAAGATGAATACATGAGGTGTTTTGCTCACATGACGTGAGTGAAGTGATCTGAGGCAGCGTAACACTCGGCGAACCAATCGCCATTGTGATATGCCACAATAATATTAAAATGTGAAAATGTTTCTTGATTGCTCACTATTGCTTTGTCAGGAAATTGTGCCAAATGAACTGGGTTTTTTTGGGGGGGTGGGGGTGCGGGGGTGTTACAGCAACGTTGAAGCCATTTGTGCAATCAATCATGGCATAAAGTGCACTTGCCGTTTTGTCACATGAGGCTTAAAGCCTTTTAAACATTGCCTTCAAGCTTTAAGGCGTACAGTCAGGCATACACCTTTGTACTGTCATACAAAACCGCTTATTGTTTGGTCGCCTCTTTTTTCACCTCGATTCTCACGCAAGCGCACAGGAGATGTGCAAGTGGCTTATTGGCGCCCATTGAACTACATTAGGGGGAGGGAATAAATGAATTAATGTCCCCACATCCCTCAAACAATACATTCTTCAAAAATACTGTTAAACATGTCCCCCACACCCCTAAAAAACTAGGGGTGAGGGGGGATTGGGACATCTCAAGGGGTGGGAAGAAATAAAAGAAACATTGACCTTTTTAATTTCAAATCTGCAACTATGCAAATCCGTGGGTGCCGAAACCGCGAGTATGCATGGGTCGACTATATCCAAAGGTCCTTGGATATAAGTAGGAAGAGTCAAATGAAAAGTGAGGTTTCCAGAGTTGCCTACCTTTTTGTAAAGCTTCAGATATTCCACAGGTGTCTGTTTGCGTTTCTCTGCTATCTTGCCCTGCATGTAATGGATGAGCCACTCTTCTTCATCACTGTCCCCCTCACACTGGGAAGCGCCTTGGAAACACTGAGATGCAGTCTCTAACATGGATTCTCTCCTGTCCTCCATCTGAAAATAATGACAGAACAGAGCTTTGAAAGGTAAATAATCTTATTAGCACAGTTCTTCGCAAGGCCTTCATAGGAAGAAGCAAAACCAAATGACAAGATGTGACATCTCTGTTGTAAAACTGTAAAAATGACCTTGTTAACATGCGCCTCACCTGTTTTACCACCTCGGGTGGAAGCTCATCACGCCACTGCTTTAGCTGACGTGAAGCAAAGGAGTGCAACGCATATGATATGGTTCCATACTCGATCCAGAGCGACAGGTTGGAGCTGTCTATCTCTAGGGCCCGCTTAAAGCAGTTGAGCACAGCCTGTGAGTGTTTCCATATGGGTACATCACTTTTTAGCTCATTGGAGTTGAGTTTCTCCTGAATACGACTGGCCCTAGCTAAGGCCATTCCTGCCCAGGAATCAAACCTATCCACAAACAAAACACTGAGCATCAGTGCAAGCAAAGATGAAAAAAAAAGAACAACTACAAGACTCGGCACATTTGGTTCGGAATATTTATCTTAAAAGAAGTTATAATAAACATAGTAGTAAACCGACCTACCTGTTCGGACAGACACAGATGTCATGCATGTAAAACTTAATGGCTTTGGACTGCTCCTTGTTCTTGAAGTGATAATCAGCCAGCAAGTAGTAGACCTCATTAATGATTGGAGGGGGTGGAAGACTACCCTCAGGAAGGCTTGGGGTCTTAAAAAGCAACAAATTGCAAATATGAGAAGAAACTCCACTCATTCTCTGTACTGTTTACCCTCCCTATGGTCACAGGTGTGCTGGAGCCTAGTCTATCAGACAGGTAGGTGGTGGACAACCCGAACTGATCGTCAAGATGATCACAGGGCACATGTAGACAAACAACCATCCACACTCACATCCACCTACGGACAATTAGCAGTCTTCAATTACAGTAACCTAACAAGCATGTTTTTGGAATGTGGGTGGAAAACCGAGTACCCGGACAAAACTCATACAGGCAGAGGGGAAGATGCAAATTCCACACAGAAAGGATAGGGCCTGGTTGTGAACCCACTACCTCAGACCTGTCTGGCAACTGTGCTAACCAGTAAAAAGAGTAAACTCAAAAAATTAAATAGTTTAATTTTTTTCTTCAAATAAATACTGAGACAATTTCATTTAGCCAATGTTGTAACAATTTAAAAACACCAACATTTGAAATAAATGTTTCGTATTGGACCATTTTATGTTACATAAATTCGGTGTGAGATCACAAACTTACCTTTTTTGTCAGGCCCTCAATGTAGGCTCCAACCTCATCCATAGTGAGAGTGGGAGTTTCACTTGGGGGGGCGATTCCTGCAAACCTCCTCAACAGATTAGCTAAATCTGCAGAAACGGTGCTTGTTTTGTAGCTGTCAAACTCCGGAAGTGACTTTGGTTTAAAATAATGGAACATGAAAAGGGCATCACCCCACAGCAGCTCAACCTGCAACATATTTATTAGTTCCAAGGACCATATTAGTGTATTCAATATTCTAAAACATTTTATCACATCTGACACCGGCGAAGCATATTCACTGTACTGTAATGTAATTGAATTTTCAGGGAAAAACCTCTTGCACAGGGGAATAGCCTCTTATGAAAAGTTCATTGAAATATTTCAATGAAATGCATTGTGATATCCGAGGGCACCTTCCAGTACCCAGGTACACAAATTACAAAATGACAACTCTCAAAGGGATCCTCACCAAATTAACATGTATGTATGGCTTGATTCCAAAGAACTATTTTAGCTGGGAACGGTGCCTTAAAACTGAAATGCACCTCTATATTCATGTACTGTACTTTTACGGCAGCATTTTTAATTGTATTGGGGCAGCCATATTGGCCACTAATCATTCATTCATTTATTGATCTATATACTTTTTGCTATTTCAGTCAAAAGGAAAGAAGTCAAGCCAGCCACCATAGTGACTGTTTTGCCTGTGTATTGTGGTGGACTGCTTCTGGCGCATTCCCCACTTCTGGATTACAACATGCACCATGACAACTCTGTGCCAAGTTCAAAATCATAGCCTGACAAAGCATTTCTGTCCATGTTTATATTGGTTGGGCTTTTATTTCGAAGTTGGCACACAGCGAGTTATCGTGGTTCAAGTTTTAATCCAGGGGCAGGGAACGCCGGTTCTTCGAGAGCCATATCCTGCCTGTTTTAGATCTTTCTGTACTTCAACACTCCTGATTCAAATGATCAGCTCAGCAGCAAGCTCTGTAGAGGCCTGAAATGATCATGAACAATTTGTTTTCATATAAATGATTATATAAAAGATAAATGATTTTATTTTATGTAAATGAATAATTTAATATGTTCATGATCATTTCCCTGCGCTGCCACAAATTGTTGTTACTAAATAATTGGTGCATTTAATTTTCTTTTTAATAAATGTCCCTGGCCATGAAGGTTTGTCAAGGGGAACACAAAGATTGTATGAAATTCTAATCTATTTAATATCAATGATTTGAGAAGAGTCACATAGTGCTGTCCTTAAAAGAAGTCAAAATTGAATGTGTAAGCACTTTAATGTTACATTTGACCAAACATTTGCCTGCCGAGGGTTAGGATAAGAATCTGACCTGTGGAGAGGAGTGGTCTTCAAGGAAGCGGGCCTTGCTCTTCTTACTGGGATAGGCATATAGACAGAAGAAGCACTGTTCTAAAGCCATCTCCAATTCCTCTTTGTAGGGATGACAAATATTGTTGGCAGAGCCACTGGTGGCAAACTCTTTTTCCAAAACTCGAACCTATGGTAAATATCAAATTGCTGTCAAACCCATTTACGGTTATACATTCAAATTAATTCACACAGAGAATTATATTATGTGAAGTCGACGAGCTGTTTGAAGGTATGCTCAATCTTACGAAAAACTTGAGTAGTGAACCATCTGAACAGCAGCACATGGAGCGACGACCAAGATACTCATGAGCAGTATTCAGAAGCATAAGGGAGGATGGCAGCATCGGAGAGTCTGAGTCATCTAAAAGTCATGTTAACACGGTCATTCAGTGCAATACCAATGCTAATGAGGCACAAGCATGAAATCAAGGAGTCCACAAACCTTCCTCATCCCCTACAGACATATGTTGTTGAAGCATTGCATTAAACGCGGCTTCTTCATGTTTGATGATGTGATATAAAATAATCCAAGGCAGCACAGAGAAGAAATAAGGCTCTTTAGGATCATCAGAAATGGTCATGCTAAGGTCGATCAGCTGAAAAGACAAACATAAAAATACATTAACATTACATTGAACTAATGCCCCTGACCATTAGTGGGTCTGTAATGTAATCATGAGTAGTCAGTGCTCTTCTAACCTGAATAAGATTGTTTGCGAGCCGACCCATACTGGAGAAGTGGGTGAGGTTGCTAAGGAGCTCTGAGTCTTTGGTAAAGCAGACGTCGATGCCCTCCAGCAGCTTCGTAATGGTGCAGACCCATTCTTCCTTCACAGGTGGGGAGCTACTTGCAGAAGAGTTGAACTGCTGCAGAGCTTCATTTAGAGCCATCTCACTTGTCTCTAGACATTGCTGGTAGTCTTGGAGCCTCAACAGTGATCTCTGTGGCAAAATTATACACAGCTGAATGAAAGGCACTCATAATCACACATCAAATCTCTGTGAAGATTTTGTTGTTGTTGTTGACGCATGACTTGCATCATCATCTGACCTGCAGCAGCAGAAGCTGAGCTGGACGTTCTGGTGCTGAGCTAACAAACTCCAAATGTTTACTCCTGCTGCCGTAATTAAGAGTAGGCTGCAACAAGCGCACAACCGACTCAAAGTCTGCAGACTCAAAGAGATGCTGGATTTCCTCCAATGACTGACAGCGCTCCAGAGACTTCAATCTTTTGTCAATCTGGCCATGAAAACAAAAAAAAAAAAACATTGGAACGAAAGAAACAAGGACTTTATTGATAAAACAAAAAACTATTTAAGTCATAAACCAGTGCACTGACCTCCTCAACAGATATTGCTGAATCTACCATTAAATTGGGGAGTCTTATGGTATAATATCTCCCTTCGGGAGGCTTGGATTTGCTCTGCAACAGCCCTGTACAGACATCATAGCTCTCTAGAGCCAGTTCCATGTCTCCCTGGAAAGAGAGACAAACTTACTGGTCAGATCGAGTTAAGGGTGTGTTGAAATGATTTGGTCCAGAACAACAACATGTGTACTTACCTGGAGAGCAAGAGATCTAGCCTTCAGCCAGTAAACACGCACCATGAAGTCTAACCAGTTGTCGTCAAACAGATCTTTTTGGGATGAACCTAAAGCCAGGAGCAAGACGTCAGCCTGGAAATGTTGCCCAGGGAATTCGTTTTCTGCTGTGTCATTGCAGGAACTTGTGCTTCTTCGAGACGTCACTAAAGGAGAAATAAAACAGTCGGTGAAAACATGCAGTTCCTCACAACTTTCCAAGAAATCACTGAGCTACTGTATAATACTGGGAATAAATAGAGACATACAGTATTTGCAGGAACAATTTTGACAGATCATCATCAAATCATCAATATAAAAATAAGACATTTTATCTTCCTGTATAATTTAATATTTTAAACCCAAAAATGTTTGAAATGTTGTGATGCTCCATACCCACCAGTCTTGCCTTTGTTGTGCAACCATTGCTCCAACTGCAATTCCATACATGCCAGGCTCATTTCCAACATTTCCTGTACATAAAGAAGCAAAATGCTCACTGACTACAATGCATTCATCCGTCGAAAGTTATGCATTCAAGCATGTTTATGAGTCAGACCAAAGAACTTCGACTGTGCCTTGGGTCAAAATTAGCCTCACGGAGTGTATTTCCATCACAAATTAAAACCAAAGGAAAGCATTCCTCAAATAACTGTGAGATGAAAGGAAAGAAAAATACAGGACAAAAACAAAGGACAACAATGGGAAGCTATACAAAATGAGGATAAAGCGGTTCGGAAAATGGATGCATGGATGGATAATTGATTTGTCATTTACCCGAATGTGCTGCTTACTGCAGTCTCGAAACAAAGGGTTAGGAAGGCCACAGCTGTGCTTTCTCCAAGCCTGGTAGACCTCCAGCACCACAGCAGTCATACCCGGAGGCCATTCCTCCATGAACTTCTGACCCACTGCTTTCAGATAGCACAACATCAGGTCAAGTATTCCTCCATTGGTCATATTTTGAAGAAGGAAGTTATGAACATCCTGCTGTTCTACAAAAAACAAAAATGAAAAAAAAGTGTTAGAAAGAAAGATGATGTCAAGAACATAACCATCCAAGAAGGATTGAGTGTACCAGATTCCATGTAATCAACTGCATCAACTGGAACGCAGCTCCCAAGTCGAGGCTGCATGTCATCCTTCCCATTGCACTGTGGCTCAAGATTACTCAGACTTTCATCTTCATTATCAGGATCAAACTTTCGTAACCTGCAAGAAGGGGAATGATTTCATACATCCGTACAACAAAAGCAAGCCATTGGCCTATCTACTGTCTATACCGCTTATCCTCACGAGGGTTACAGGTGTGCTGGAGCCTATCCCAGCTGACTTTGGGCAAGAGCCAGGGGTACCCCCTGGACTGGTGGACAGCCATATAAACAAATAACCATTCACATCAATAAAACTACATGAAATACAACAGCAGCACACACACAAGTTGTATGAACAATGACAACACAAATTGTGGTTACCTTGAAGGAAGGTACTTAAACAGCAATTCCTGAAAATCAATCTTCTCTTCTTTTTTGCATTTAGTGTTCCGAACCCGTGCTGAACGTCTCTTAGCGGTCTCAACATTATCTTCTACTGCACGTTTTCTTTTTGGTGCTTTCTTTGCCTTGTCTATCAGAGAAATGTCCATGGCTGCAACTGTGGTAGGTGAGGAAATAATTCAAGATGATTTGACACCATCAAATCACCATTAAAAAAATTATAACTTGCTTTTCCAACTGACCGACAGAAGGAGAAGCTGTGGGTGTTTCCACAATCGTGATTTGTGGTTGGATGGCAGGTTGTGAAAGTGCTGATGGCTCAGGAAGGACAGTCGGTGGCAGAGATGAGCTGGGGCTGCTGCTCAACACCGTCGTCTGGGCTGTGCTGATGGGACTTGTGGGTTCAGGCAGGTTTTGGAAGAAGCTTCGTTCACGGTATACAGACAAGTCAATCCTGCGCCCGAGACTAAGCCGTGGCGGCCCACATGTGGTTTGATAGCGATACATTGCAATAAGGCTTTCACCCACATGCTTCCACCTGTGTTAAGAAAGTAGTCGCATGTCAAATCAAGTTATCCAACCATGTACAAGAGGTCAAATGTTTGATAAAACCCAATACACTAAATAGACAAAAGTATGCAGTCACACCTCACGAATCAATTTAATGTTAATGAGAGTTTGCTATTGTCAATTGCCTCTATATCAGGGGTCACCAACCTTTTTGAAACTAATAGCTCCTTCTTGGCTACTGATTAATGTGGATGCTCGACCAGTTTGATAGTATGCACTTTTTAAATAAATTTGCTCAAACTACCTTCATAAGTTATGAATGATTAATTGTATTGATTTCACATTAGCGATTTCTCACAATGTGTACGAAACAGATAAATATCAATTGGCCACACTTTATTATAAATATCTGCCAGAATTCACGTTTTGAAATAATCTACAATACTCCAGGAGAGTCACAGTGTCTAATCACAGGTGAGCTATTGTCCGACTGAGGCCCGCGGGATACTCATTTAGTCCTCCAGGTCTCCTCGGCGCCCGCGGGCATCATGTTGGTGACCCCGGCTCTATATATTCAATTGTTGTACGCACTCATTAACCTGATTGTGTGTGTGTGTGTCTCACACACACACACACACACACACACACACACACACACACACACACACACGCACAGTCAGGTTTCAATGAACAGTGGAATTTGAAATAATTCACAAACACTTTTAAGAGTACTCACGTCAGACATCGGATAGGCTTGATCAAGACAAGGTCAGGGGTTGGTTCCGTGTAAGAGAGAGCCTGTCTGCGTTTTCGTAAATCCAGAGCTTCTTCCACAATGGATTTGCGCCCCTCTTCTTCCACTTCGACGTAGTGGACAGACATGTCGCTGCAAACACCCCACAGCACAAAAACATTTGAAAATGACAAGTTGGTGGCAGGGCTTCCTGAAGAAAAATTTTTTATATATATATATATATATATATAGGTCACAGTGCTAGCTTCTGCAGCCGAGGATCAGACCGCCAGGGTCCCCGCCTTTGGCTGCTGCCCAACTCACACTGCACCCGACCCCCTTGGCGCCCCCCTACATATACACACACACACACACACACACACACATATATATATATACACACATATATACACACACATATAAAAAGGTCAATGACTGAAAAATAAGTGCAGTCACCATCTCTTGAACATTTGCATCGTTTCCCTTTTGAGACTGGCCTGCTCCTCAAAGATTTTCTCCTTCAACACCAGGCCTTTTGTGTAACAATGATCCTTTTCAAGGGCTTTACTGATGAAGTACAAACACCCTGGAAATATTTATAAAGATGATCGTTAGTTTAAGGCGTGTATTGTGAAACGAGTGACAGCAAATCGCTATTGGCAATACATACAGGTATAGTCACAGAGTGCGTAGAGAACAGTGATCAGGTTGTCCAGGCAGGGCCAGTGGTCTGGGTTACACTGCAAGCCCTCCTCAAAGGCATGTCGGGCCAAAGGAATACGCAGGAGTCGGACAGCCACTTGTCCAATTTTGTACCACATATTCACATCAGTGGAATCCAGCAAAACGGCCTACAGAAAGAATGGACACGAATATGAACAGGATTCTTATCCTTTTTGTATAAAGACATTTTTTTAGCTGCACTAAGTAATGTGTAGCATTGTTTTATTGTTTGACCTCTAAGTAAAACTCCATCGCTGTCTCCAGGTCATCTCGTGATGCAGCCATACTAGCCAGGTTTTTAAATGTGGAATACTTCAACATCAGTCCGGGATGCTTGAGACCCAAGCTCTGATCCTCCGAGGGCATAGCCTTCAATAAAACACGCAGAATTAAATTATTTCATACTGAGGATTTGTTTTGCACATCGCAAATTAAAATCTCATCAAAAGCTTACTTAAGATTACCAGATGCTTACCTTGTTTCTCACATTATAGCAGGCATTTTCATAATTATAGATGTATAAATTATGGCAGTACCAAAGTAGCTCCTTAGTTTTATGTAGACTGAATTGGAAATATTACTGCGGTTTTGTGAAAGCATACATTACGGCCATGGACTGTCAGGATTTTGACATCATCAAGTTAAATTCAAGACTTTATTAATTCCATTTTGAATGTATATTTTAGACCAACTTCACAATGTATACGTTGCGCCGTTGAGCCAATGAGAGCAATTGAAAATAAAATGACTGGCCAATTATATTTCTTTGTCACTGCTGTTATGAACAAAAACACAATACTGTATTGTGCTTTTTTTCTTACGATATATTGAGTTTTTATACAGTATTGTGAAGATTTTTTTATATCGACAACTTCCCCACAATATCGTGATAATTATTGTATTGTGAGGTTCAAAACATGATATGGTTTGTTAGTTCCACTGTGTGATTGCATGATGTTACCCCAAAAGTCATTTCATGTTATGTTTTTAAGATTGTGTATTTATTTTCAGGCTTGACTATTTACAGTCATTAAATTGTACTTCATGTGTTAACAATAATTTTTAATAGTTATGTAAGATTGATTTAAGAAGTTTTAATGCCAACTAAGGCCTTTTTAGATTTATTGATTCAATGTTTAAGAGGGTTTCAAGGTTACAGGGGATACTTGATTCTTCTGTATCATAAAAAAATACACTTGTGTATGTTCGTTTACCTCTTTGAGGAGTGGCGTTTTAAGCAACTCATGATATGCCACGGCAGATTCCTCAAACTTGTCATGTTTCTGCAGATCTAAAGCTTTATGATACAAGGCAAAAGCCTCTGCTTCCTACACAGAAAAAAAACAAAACAAAACGTCAGCATGGAAATGTCAGCAGTTGATAACAAGCAACACACAGATTCACTGGACCTGAGCCTCTTTTGTTCGACTTTTTTTACTTCTCAACGGGTCTTGAGACTCATCTGCAGCTGTCGATGCGGCATTCAATGCCGCGATTCGAATCTATAAAAAATAAAATAAACAAACCAGAAAACAGGAGAAGCTGACACATAGTTAACTCGTTGATAAAGCATGTTGTTTAGGTGTAACAGTTACATTAGATCACCTTACCATTTTTATGTATCAGACAGAGATGATGTGCTATTCGGTAACAGACCATCCAGCTTTTGAGTTCGGCAGCTTCCGATCGGATCTATGTAAAAATTTAACAGCAGAGAACGAGAAAACAAGGTTAAATGGCATGTGAGTATTGAAAGTACCATTATAAATAATGTGCGTTGACAGGAGTATGTTACAGTCTTTGGGGCGGGTTTGATCAAATATTATATCACTTAGCAGAGTGCAGAATGTCAATTCAAGTATAGCATAGTTAGCTTAGCTTTGCCACGGGACACAGTTGGATTAAAGAGGAAAAACATCAACTGTAAATATATCATGTAGAAAAGCGATTCTAAAACGTTATGAGCTGTTAGATGTCCAACGTAAGGAAAGTGACAAATGTCCGTTACGTACCTGAGTTGAATGTGCTACTTGGTTCATTCACCAGATGAGCCGATCGAGGCAAAGCGACTGAGACTTGATTTCATTTCCCTCTCGACGGCAACTATAACATGAACGTTATTGAACCAGGGGCATTACACATGAAAACTCTATAAGAGAGAAAATACGGCGTACTATTTCAGTTTTGAACTTCATCAATTCATCAGCCTTTGTTGTTGTTCGCGTCGGAAGCGCCACAGCTTGACATGGGCTAACTCACCAGTAAACTCGACGCTCATTGACTAATAACGTATTCGACTGGCCAATCACATATTTTCATATTAAACAACGGGGTTGTCCCAAATTCTCCGATACAATCAGATGTCATTTTACGTAAAGAAATGTGATTAACAATTTGTTCATGCCTCTTACTGAATTAACCCTTTCATGCACCAAAAATGATAACCTGTACCTGATAACATGATAAGCTGTCCACTGTAGTAACCGCTGTTCCTGAAAGGGTTAATTCGAGTCCTTATCCAAGAGCTATCAACTTAACTGCTGGTTTTGATTCTGTTGAGGAATCCTTTGCGTAAAGTTCATAATTTAATAAAGATCTGATTGAAAAAATAATAATAATACTGTACCGAGTCTGTCCTCAACGGGATCAAACCTGCATAGTAAACAAACATCCACTAGAGGGCAAACAGCGACTATAATACAGTATTTCAAAGGGACAGAAAATATAGTACACTGCACATTTGGAATGTACAGTTTATGCGCTTTCAGTGCAAAATTTTGAAGCTTCAACTGCATCCATCATCAGTGCATTTAGTTGCTTTTCATGAAGACACCATGCCATTCGCAATGTATTACTTTCACCTTAACACTTTTTTGCCTCATAACATGACAGACATTGAAATGGTAGGTTAAAACATGCAGGTTTAGGAGTACCATGTGGTGGGATGGGATGGCTGAAGTTGCACTCAGTGACCCTGCTTCTCAAAGTGCCCCTGCCACTCCACATATTGAACATCCTTACCCCACCTCTCGCTCTTGGCTGAGACTGGCTTGCTGGCTCCATTATCAATTCCTTTTGTCAGCATGCCCGCAAAAAGCAGCTTACGTCACGGTCATTACAGGCTCTATAAAAGCCAGTGTAATGCAGAATCACTGCGCAGTTGACACAGCTTCATCACAAGACTCAGAGCAGATTACCTTAAATGATGACTTCCACCGGCTTTGACTTTTATTTTCCTGGTACTTACAAGAGGAGAACCGTTGTACGTAGTGCAGGACATGGATCTAATGGAGGCATAGAATCAAGGGCTGCATATTCAAGCCGCTCTGCCCCAACATCTTATACATCATCATACAGAAGTTTTCCTATCTACAGTCGAGCTAGCTCCAGCTCTTTCCTGCTTTCCGCTCCAGGGTATACAGCTGCCACTGAGCTACGCCTTGACCAAGCAGCACAGGTCACCACTGAATTCAAACGATTAAGGACCCAGGAAAAGGCTGAGCTACAAGACCTAAATGACCGCTTTGCAAGCTTCATAGATAGGGTTCATGAACTGGAGCAACAAAACAAATTGCTGGAGACTGAACGCTTGTTGCTCAGGCAGCGCCAAACCGAGCCATCAACCCTCCGGGCTCAATATGAGCACGAGATCCGCCAGCTAAACGCTGCAGTGGAGGAGGCCCGTTTTGAGAGACAAGCTGCCCAGCACCACAGGGATGAGATAGAAGGCATGCTGAAGAACTTGCAAAAACGCTATGAGGATGAAGTGCTCGGTAGGGAGGGGGCGGAGGGCAGACTCATGGATGCTAGAAAGGAGGCAGATGAGGCAGCAATGGAGAGAAGTGAGTTTGAGAAAAGGGTTGAAATTCTGTTGGATGAGCTGGCCTTCCTGAAGCGTCTCTGCGAGAGTGAAATTGCAGAACTTCAGGCCCAAATCCAGTACAGCACGGAGGTGTCTGTGGAGATGAATGTAGTTAAACCTGACCTATCAGTTGCTTTACGTGACATTCGAGCCCAGTATGAGACAATGGCACAACGCAATCGCCAGTCGGCTGAGGAGTGGTTCTGCAATAAGATGAATGTTATGTCGGTAGGCACCGCTCGCAATACAGAGAGTGTACGTAATGTCAAAGATGAGGCTGTTGAATACCGCAGGCAGCTCAAAACTAGGACATTGGAGATTGACGCCTGTAGAGAGATAAACCAAGCTTTGGAAAACCAATTGCAGGAAGTGGAGGAGAAACAGAGTGCTGAGATTTCTGCACTGCAGGTGAGCAACTCAAAGACATTGATGTTTGTCCTCATTGTAGGACAAAAATACCTGCAAATACTGTAGATATTAAATGATTTACGCTGTTGCTTGGTAGATCTGCCGCAAAGTACCTTTCCTAAGTTGTTTTGGCATAGGAAAGGTTGTGTATGGAGTCGATTTCTGTGAATTATGTGTTTTTATTTTTCACCACAGGATGCCATCAATCATCTGGAGGAAGAACTGAGAACAAATAAGAATGAAATGGCTCGTTACCTGAAAGATTATCAAGATCTCCTGAATGTGAAAATGGCCTTGGATATTGAAATTGCAGCCTACAGGTTTTACTCCTATGCACATCGTCCATGTATTTTGCATGATATTTTGCAGACAAATGCCACAAACATGTTTCCTTACTGTCCGTGTTTAATACAATTTCAGAAAGCTACTTGAAGGAGAAGAAAACCGCTTAGACCGGTGTGGCCAAATGTCTTCTGTTCTTCACTCCCAAGCTGCATTCGCTGGACCAACTCATGGAAGAACTGTGGTCTCCATGCAATCTCAGCTGCATTCGGCTGCTCCGTACTTATTGACCCCTCGCTTGTACAGATCAACAATCTCCACTGAGGAGACACTATCTGCACGTGAAGCACAGCAAGCGGAGACAGGCCCCCCTCAGAAAGAGGTGGAGGAGAAGAAGGGAGAAGAAGAGGAGGATGAGCAGGAGGAAGAGCAAGAGGAAGAGCAAGAAGAAAAGGAGGAAATAGATGACAAGGATGAAGGAGACGAGGATGAGGAGGGTGAGGATGAAGCTGATGGAGAAGGTAAGTGTGTATATATACACATTTTGTGTGTGTGTATGTGAGTGTATATGTATGTATGTATGTATGTGTGTGTGCGTGCATATATATATATATATATATATATAGAGAGAGAGAGAGAGAGAGAGAGAGAGAGAGAGAGAGATCTGTACTGTATATATACAACAATGACTGGTGTAATGACTGGTGCATGTATAGCAATCAATTACTCATTCCTCTTGTTTCTCCCCAAAGAGGTTGAGGCAGAAGAAGCACGCGAGGAAAATGAGGGGGAAGGAGTGGATGAATCTGATCAGAAAGAAGACAGGGAGGACTGTGATGATGAGAAAGAAGGAAAACAAAAAGCTGCGGAAACAGAGGCTGATGAGAAAAATGGAAAAGCCTAGTACCGTTTATGTATGCTTCGGCAAGTTGCAGCTAAAGCAACTGCTCTCCTGTGAATCTCGTATACATCATCCGTTCAATTGTAATGATGAATGTCTCAACTTGTTGCATGGACGTGATATTGGAACAATTTTCAAAGATATGAGAACGTCACAAGCATCAAAACTATCATTGTGGTTTGTGTATGTATGTAACATGTTTATGCCTTCTGTATGCTTAAGTGTCACCAGAATATGCTCGTAAGATGATCTGTCCTCAACTGGCTAATTTCCTCACAGTGGTTACTGTCCATAACATGCTGAAATAATAAAGCCTTGAAGCCTTATTAACTGAGAATTCATGCAGTGGTTTTCATTTATGGTTTTACGCACAGTTGTTGCATCAAAGAAAAGGGATTTTTAATGAACATTTATTTCATAAATATATATTTTGCTGTCACTTTTACATTTTTTGTAAACCAACAAGTCCTTTTTCTCTCCAAGGAGAAATTAAAAGGTTACCTTCACCACGGTCATACAATTTACGATAGACATGAGCAGCAAAAAAGGTGCTGGTTCTCCTGCATCACTAAAGCACGAATTAGAACTGCTTAATGGCATATAGAGTACTGTCCAGTACTACGTTATTTAATTATTCATTGTTATTTCCCCTTAATTGCCAGTTAGGCACTTTGTAATTTAGCATGACTGAGCTTAGAAGGGTAAAACAAAGTTATAGCGGTGACTTTGTGTTTACTTTGAGCGAGCATGTCATTGGCCTAATAAAATCTGCAGTCGGTGTTGATCACTGAAGCTGATGCCGGTGTTTTTCTAGTATGCCACACCCTTATCCATGTCCCTGTCGATGGACCAGAGCACGGTGAAACCTTTATGACTCAGCTAGTGTGCTGCGCCAATGAATCTGGCCAAGTGTCAGCTCTTGCAAGACAGCCAGGGAAGGGAAATTTCATTATTTTACTCGGGAGTGGCGAGAGAGAGAGATGGTTGGGATAGAGGAGGAATGACTAAGGGAGGAGTGCAGAGACATATCTCATTGCATTAAACCTTGACAGAGGACAGGCTGTTTTATATCCAGTAAAGAGATGCCAGGTCTTCCTTTAGGCATCTGCAGCAGCTCAGTCCACAGTATGCCATTTAAATGAACAGCACACTCAGTATCTTGTCTTATTACACTCAGATACTCCCTGGCGAATGGATACATTGAGAATTCTATTTCATTCGGCGCAGCACACACTAACAACATGTATGACCCCACATTGTACCCATATATAATAAATATGAATACTGTTTCCGCATTCTCTTCATCCACCTTGTCCTTGGCTTACCATACCCTAAGCAAGACTACATTATCAGCATCCTTCTGTTGCTACAATACAGCTTGAGCGGGTCCAAAAATGCACTCAGTTTAATCATCAAAAATAATACCTTCAGTGAGTTTGGCTACACCCACACTTTTCACTACTCAAAGCAGTAGCAATTTGGTTAATGTTTTCTTATTGATTAAAACACTCAAGCAGACTAATGATTTTCTCTTGGCTGGACCCAAATACACAAACCATCCAGCAGACATAGTGCTGAAACATGGGGCCCAAGCTCTCGGTGCAGATGGAAATACGAAAACAATAATATAAAGTCATCATATGCATACTAAACAAAAGTATTGAAACACATCTATGAATGAAGTAATATGGACCAACTTTATCAAATTTCATCTACATATATTGAGTTTGAAGTTGCAGTCCAAATGTCATAGGTATGTTCTGAACAGACGAGCTTAAACAATTGATTACATTTTCCCCAATGTCATCATTGCTAAAGTGTA